GACACATGAAGAAATGCTCAACCTCTCTAGCCATAAAAAAAATGCAAATCAAAACAACATTGAAATACCACCTCACCCCAGTTAGAATGGCTATAATCAAAACTCTAATAACAACAGATGCTGGAGGGGATGTGGCCAGAAGGGAACCTTACTACATTGTTGGTGGGAGTGTAAACTTGTTCAACCACTTTGGAAAGTAGTATGGAGGTTCCTCAAAAGGCTCCACATAGAGCTCCCCTATGACCCAGTAATCCCACTTTTGGGCATCCAAATGATCACAAACAAGACCATAGTAAAGCTACCATCACAACTATGCTTATTGCAGCCTTATTTACCATAGCTAAGATATGGAACCAACTCAGATGCCCCTCAGTAGATGAATGGATCAAGAAAATGTGGTATATATACACAATGGAATTCTATGCCTCTATCAGAAAGAATGACATTGCCCCATTTGTTAGGAAATGGAAAGACTTAGAAAAAATTATATTAAGTGAAGTAAGCCAGGCCCAAAGAAATATAGGTCCCGTGGTTTCCCTTATTTGCAATAACTAGTATATGTCTGAGTCAAGCAGAAAAGGTCAGATACATTGATGTTAGGGGAATGAACCCCAAGATAAATATTCAAATGTTTTTTTTTCTTTCATGCAATTGTTTCTAACGTATTTATAAGATGATTTCTATATTGCTTTGTATGTCCCTCCCCCACGGTATAACCCCTGTTTTCACTGTATTTGATGTTGGTATAATTTGTGGAGAGGAAGGGCAAAAACAAATTGTTTAACTAGGGATACAGATGGACCCATTGCAATAATGAGATGTACAAGTCGTTATGTCGAAAAACGAACTTTACAACTTTGGTGGGGAGGGAGCACTGGGTAGGGGGAGGTGGGGAGGGAGTATGGGAAGGGATGTGGAGGGTAAACAAAGAGGAGGCAACAATGCTTGATAAGAAATGTACTTGTTATCTTGCCCATGTAATTGTAACTCCTCTGTATGGTATTTTCACAATAAAAATAAAATAAAATAAAATCTGCCTTGGGAAGAAGTTAGTATAGCATTCATTAATAAACAAGGATACATATTTAAATGTATTTTGTGGAAGTAGGCAAAGCATATATGAGCATGACATAGTGTAAATATGGTAAGGCAGCAGGACATGTTAAAAAGACTTAGGGGTTCTAATAGAGAACTCAGAAAATACTGGGACACAATGATGAAAAGAGCTAATGTGGTCTCATACTTAATCTCTCTCTCGCTTACTCTCTCTATGTGGTCTCATGCTTAATCTCTCTCTCTCTCTCTCCCTCTGACACATAACCCCCCCCACACACACACAAATACACATACACACACAGAGTAACCAAAACAAGGGGAGTAGTGGTCCTACAATAATAGTTGGCACAACTCAGAACAAACTTTGAACATGAAGCCAGGCATAGGCACCAGAACACTGACATTAAGCAGAATACACATACTGAAGAGAGTATTCCAAATGCTGGAGGAACTTGAAACTGCTTAAGAGAAACAGATAAAAAAAGTGAGGGAAGGGGTGGGTTGGGAGGGATGGGTAAGAATGTTGAAAGAGGTGATATTGATCAAGATGCATTGTATTCATAATCTATTTTGTTAAATGGCAACTCCTTTGTACAACTACTTAAATAGGTAGTTAATTAAAACACTACTTATAAAATAACTACTTAAAGATAATAAAATAAAAAATTAATGAACAAATAAAGAAAGAGGCTATTAAATCTAAAGAAGGTATTTTGAGAATAGATATATTCATCTTCAAACATTTAAAAGATTAATAAATGGATGAGGAACTCCTGCTCTGAAAATTTCAGAGACTTAAACTGTCATTAGTAGGTAAGATTACAAGGAAGTGTATCTTAGCACAATGAGAGGAACACTTGTGTAAGCAAACTGTCCAAAACAACTGCTTCCCCAGCAAGGCATATTCCAGCTGACAACCTGAGGTTCATCCCAGATCACTTTTCTCTGAACAATAAAAAGTTAACTCATGCATCAAATAGTAAGCAGGGCCAGAAACCCTTCCAGTTCTAAGACCTAATAATGCCTAACATCTAAAATCAGTTTGGAGACATTTAAACACTTACGGGGCATCTGGGATGATGTACAACATATTAAAATTTAGAACAAAGGTCAAAGAGTGGTTTTGAGCAGATCAGTAAATGTGGGGTTGAAGGTATTAGAAATAATGAACTCAAAGGTAACAACTACCAAATTCAGATGAACATTAGGCAGAGTTAGGTTTAAGTTCTCTTTTCCTTTTTACTCAATAAAAAATATTATTTTAGCTGGGCCCTGGTGGCTCATGCCTGTATCCTAGCTACTCAGAAGGCTGAGATTTTAGGACTGAGGTTTGAAGTCAGTCTGGGTAGGAAAGTCTATGAGATTCATATTCGTCATTAACCACCCAAAAGCCGGGGTTAGAGCACTAGCCTTTAGTGAAAAAGATAAGGGAAAGCACCCAACTCCTGAGATCAAGCCCCAGTACCGACACACATACACAAATTATTTCAGAGCAAATCATTAGTGAACACAATATAAACTGTACAATTGCCATTAAGTTTGAAAACACAGATGAATACATAAAAAAGTATGTATTGATATGACATAAGAGTTATAAAATATTGCCTAAGTTTATGGGTCGTAGGGGCATCTGTATTTTTAGTAAATGTTAAAAAGCAGATAATATAACTGACTTAAAGGATAATTAGCACTATAGCTACAGGACTTACTATGTGCTAAGCATTTATATGAGCCCATCTGATTTTCAAAGAAACCCTATTTACTGATGTGGAAACAGAATTAGTCCAGCTGATTTATTTTACACAAGGTCACCCAGGTATTAACTAGAGGCAGATGCTACAGAGTCTGGCTGGTTCTGGACTGTGGATTCCATGTCAGACCCAGTACCAAGTACTTCACATAAGTTTTTCTCATTTCAGCCTCAAAATGACTTTGAGCAAGTATAGACCCATCTCGGTCTTAGATGAGAAAATAAGGTTTTGAGAGTTTAAGTAATGGATCTCAAGTATATCACATGGAGAAGGCCAATTCAACTCAATCTTAGCCTGATCAGGGCTCCTGCTCTTCTTACTGCCACGGGCCAAATTGTTTCCTTTGAGTATTATACTAACTTAGCTGTCATCAAAAAACCCTATATATGGGGTACACTTGTAAGTACAAAACAAAGCATGCATCTTACAGTATTCACAAATATGTTTATGAGTAGTATCAACCAACGATCCCTTTGATATTCTAAAGGAAAAAAAAACTAAAAGTGTAAGACTTAGTGAGACTATTAGCTACTTTGATAAAATTTTATTTTCAGTATGCTGAATCATCCAAATAGCTGAATAACTTCAGTCAAGACACATTCTCTCTGTACCTCACTTGCCTTTTTTTAGAACATGGGGATGTAATACCAGCTTTCTTTTATTCCCACACAGAGTCCCTAAACCACCTGCCTTAGTTATATAATTCAAGGTAAGCTAGTGGTTTAATTTATACTTATAATATGTGATTAGTCTCTGTGGTACAAAATGAAGCTTTGGTTGTTTCTATTTTGTATAAAAATAGCTTCAATACTGATACTGGGTAATATAAAATTTAAAAAAAATCAACATTATTTACCTATGACCATTTCTTATCAGGGAAGCTAAATACAGATATTTACATAACTTTCGAAAATAAATGTATAATTAGCTCAAAATGCTTCCTAATATAATAAAGTATCATTTCTTAATAGTAAATTTAATATAAAAAGTATTAGTGATTTACTTATAGGGAAATAAGCTCAAGTATTAAGTAACAGAATTGGTAATAGCTACGTTGGCATTTGGTAACTCATCAATTGTTGTGGTCTATACACATAATCAGCAGACTTAAAGTGACCCTCATAGTATGTAAAAGGCATCTTTGGTTAAAATCAAAGCTATATCAAACTGACCTGCTTGAGAAAAAGCACTACAGGGTCACTCAATATTTGTTACGTATTAAAAATTTTGCCTATGTGGCAAAATTATTAAGTCAATACATGACTGCTCACAAAGATTCTGAGTTGTGTCTGCCAATTTACATTTTGTAAATGAGTACATTGAAGCTTAGGGGAGTAAAGACTTAGTCCAAGGCTATCCAACCACCTTGTATGCCTGGTCCTGAAGCCTACACTACAGGGTACAGTAGTGTGTCCCTTGAACTTAGGGCCCAGGCCTGAACTTTTTCTCTCAAGGCTAGCACTCTATCACTTGAGCCACAGCTCCACTTCCAGCTTATTTTGGTACTTAATTGAAGATAAGATTCCTATCGACTTTCCTGCGCAGGCTGGCTTCAAATTGTGATCCTCAGATCTCAGTGTCCTGAGTAGCTAGCAGTACAAGGTGAGCCACCCATGTCCTGCTACAGGGTACCATATTAAAATGCAGGGGAAACTGTTCGTTTCTTTTGAGAATATTAATACTAATTTAACTGTAATCAAATAGCCTTTACTGGCAAATGACTCTAGAAATTTAGGTTGAGTGTCATCAGTGAGTGGCAGGAGTGGTTATTTGCCACTGGCATCACTGCTCTGGATTCTTATTTTGAACACCTTCATACAGAGTTAGTTGTAGTTGCCAGAGAAAAGAGCACTGGCGAACATTTTGTAACTCCAATATTACAGAGTAAAAGCCGCCTCTAAGCAACATCTATTCTTGAAAATTCCAAGACTGACTCCTTAAATCTTAGAGTACTTCAGGGTTTCATTTTTGCAGGAAGCACTAAAAAATGATGAAGCTTTATCTGTATATAGGGGATAGGCAAAACAACTGATGAGCACCATTTCCCCAGTCAACTTTTTTTTTTAATCAACAATATTAAACTCAAGGCAAACATGTAGTTAAGTTATCTTACACAATTATTTTTGAAAAAGAAAAATTCATATCCAGATAACATCAATATAATTTTACATGCTCAAGTAGAGAAAAAAATACCTTCTTCTTGTTGGTAGAAGTCTCATGGTATTTTTGTGATGTAAATAAAAATCTGTTGGGAGTTCCCAGAGATGCGGTTTCCCTTCAGTGGGATGGAAAACTCCCAGGAAGAGATTGATAGAATCTTGTCTATCAGCATCTAAAAAGCAAAAACATATTTCATGACTGACAACTCATGAGAACATCTCAGGAGAACAGTGATACAAACATGATGTCATAGACCAGATCTCTGAAAATAAAAGTGGCTTTTATATTTCAAACATTATACACATACACCCAAACAAAACTCTGACAATTACAATCTTGATTCAAAATTTCTATTTTGCTCCATATCTCTCCTAACAGACAAACTACTTACTGAATGTTGACTCTTAAAAATCTTTAAGATTTATAGGTACATTCAATAAGTAAATACGTTGGGTAGTATGCAAGTGGTTACAAATGAATTAACTGAAGTACAGTAGACTCCATGGAGAGCTCAAATAATATAATCGATCTTTTAGAAAGACTAGGTCAAAGCCCAAGAAATGGGTATATCCAAGAAGTAAGGTGGGGCCAAGGGGAGAGGGGAAGATGAGTGAAAGGGGAAAGAGGGGAGAATATAATCAAGAATTCATTGTATCTACCACAAAATTAAGAAAAGGGAAGGAGGGGGTCGAAGGGGGATAATAATGATGATGGGATGACACTGACCAAGATGCACTGAATCATAAACTCCTTTGTTAAATGGCAACTCCTTTGCACAACTACTTAAAGATAATAATTGTTTTAATCTTTCAGAATTGCTATACTCCTTTAGAGAATGATTTTATTTTGGGGCGAAAACACTCTCATCATTGGTTAGTTTGCCTCAAGTAAATATATCTTCCTTCTGTTGTAAACAGAGGTTAGAGTTTGTTGTCAGAGACTAATAAGATGACCCAATTCCTACCCATTTTGTCAAGCAACCTTGAACAAGTCAGTTGCATAGTTTCCATTTTTAATCCTTGAAAAGACATTCTCCCTTTCTTTTACAGAGACAATGTTTACCATGTTTTTTGTCCTCCCATATGCCTGGCTCATTCTCTTCTGTGGTCGATAATAAAGACAACAGCGTCACAAGAATACAGCCTCATTCTAACTATTCAATCACTCCAAAATTACCTTTTCAAACTATACTACGGATTAATAAAAGGAATTACACATATCCTATTTCCTCTTCCTTTTCCTGATTATATGTGGGTATAAATGATAACACTGAATGGTCTCATGAGCTTCTTTCCTATTCTCCTCCCTGCTCCCTCTATTCTTCCCCATCATTTCCTTCTTCCCATTCTTGTCTTCAAGGCCTTGTGCATTTAGGTTTGCAGCAGACATTCACAATACCAACAACCTCTTTCCAAAACTGAGCACAGGACTAAAGAGGAAGCACAGCAGAGATGACTGCTTTGAGAACAATATCACATTATTCTAAAATCAATTTTCTTCCAACAGCTGAATACAGACATCTGAAATTAGTATTGGGTTACTTGATCATTTCAGCAAAAGAAAATGAATGAAATATGGTAGATCAAGAGTGTATCCCCATTATTATTTTGACAGAAAACATTCCATTAAAACAACACTTACCTTTCAGATGAAACGTGATATATAAAAAGGATGTGTTTATATGCTAGGTATATATTTGAATCTTTATTTTCTACTTGTTTAGAGAAAACACTGAGCTTGAGATGATGCAGACATTACACCATATGGGAATATACATATTGCTGTTACAGCAACTACATTCTTTATGCTTCTTGAATAGCTTTAATGGCACTTAATAGTTTCACATAATGACTAAAAATATCTCAATATTAAGTAGGTAAGTTTTCCATTTCAACCATGTTTTCAAGGAGTTTCTTTTATCCTTTAAGCCTGAGGACACCTGCCCTTAAATTTTAGCAAGTGTGAAAATGTGAGCAATATAACCAAAAGGGGAGGGAATACACGGAGAAGGACTATAAAGCAGGAAACACAAAGAAGAGTATAAAGATTTCATGAAAGTATTTCTGCTATAACAACTAAAAACATGTATGATGTTAAAAAACCATATATGATGTTATATATATATATATATATATATGTTACCATATATGATTAAGCTTGGGCTATAAGTCTCCTGAATAAGCCTAAAAATCTATATACAGGAATATGGTAGCATGTTGGATATGAACAAGAGCTTAAAAATGGTAGTTTCTGTGCAGTCATGGGTAAAAAGAGAGCAAAATAATTTGCTACTTTTCTTTGTATGCCTGACCTGGGTGCTATCCTTGAGCTTTCATGGTCAAGGCTCTCTACCCTTTGACCACAGTTCCACTTTCACCTTTTGGTAGTTAATAGGAGACAAGAGTCTCACAGACTTTCCTGCCTGGGCTGGCTTTGAACCTCGATCCTCAGATCTCAGCCTCCTGAGTAGCTAGGATTATAAGCATGAGCCACTGGTGCCTGGCTTAATTACCTACTTTTATACAACATCAAGCCTTAAAACCAAAAAGAGGCTGGAGATGTAGATTAGTGATAGAGTACTTGCCCAGCACGCCAAACTGCTGGGTTCCAAATCCAACACTACAAAAAAATTTTAAAAAAAGAATATTAACTATTCAAATGGCATGTCATACAAACAGTTAAGCACTCGCCAGTTTTATTAACTATATTTAAATAGATGAGGTCTGAATATGACAATTATTTATTGAAAATTTACTTTGGAATTCAATCTGCTATTCAGTATACAGTATGTGGAAAATGAACTATGTAACTTATGGGCAGGGATGGGAGGGAGAAAGTGAAGGAAATGATGACATTGTCCCCGAAAAGTAATGTATTCATTACCTGACTAATGAAATGGTAACCTCTCTGTATAACACCTTAATAACAATAAAATTATTTTTAAAAATGTCTTTTGAGCCAGGTGCCAGTGGCTCATGCCCGTAATCCTAGCTACTCAGGAGGTTGAGATCTGAGGATCGAGGTTCAAAGCCAGCTTTGGCAAGAAATTCCGTGAGACTCTTAGCTCCAATAAACCACCAGAAAACTGGAGTGGTACAGTGGCTCAAGTGGTAGAGCACTAGCCTTTAGCTGAAGAACTGAGGGAGAGTGTTCTGGCCCAGAGTTCAAGCCCCATGACCCAAAAAAAAAAAAAAATGGCTTTTGAAACTAACATATTTGTTACTTCAGTTTGTAATAAAGTTGCCTCTGAATCAGTAAAAGAGTATTATTCTTTACTTTAAATAGGATCTTTTAACTCTAAGGGAGAGGGAACAATTAAAAGCTGGATCTCTACTTTGCACAGTATGCTAAAATATGAATTAAATGTAAGAAAGTCACAGGTCAATCTCTAACAGAAAAATAAGTACCCATAACTTTCAAAAGAAACAGCCAATGGGGCTGGGAAGGTGGCTCAGTGGTAGAGTGCTTGCCTTGCATTCATGAGGCCCTGGGTTCGATTCCTCAGCCCCACATAAGAAAAAAGAAAAAAGCCGGAAGTGGCCAATGAATATACAAAAATAAATAGAACTGCATTAGTTAGCTAAGAAAAGAAAATTAAAAATAAATAAAATTCTACCTGCTAAGTTGGAAAAATACTTGTCAAAGTGGCCCTCTTATACTCTGTTGATGACTAATCCTTTCTGAAGGCAATGAGTCTACATACATAAATAAAATGTGATGGTTAATCCTGATTGTCAACTTGACTAGATTAAGAACTATCTAGTAGACTAAAAAGGCAATTAGACATGAGGGTACTGATTTAATAAATGTTTTAATCCACTGATGGCACTATTGAGACATGGTAAAAAGTAGGAGGAGAAGCCTATTTAGTGACTAAGGGGCATGTCCTTGAGGATTATATCTTGCCCTGGCTTCTTTCTACATTCCCTTTTCTCTGCTTCCCACATTTCCCTTTCTCTGTTTCCTACACACCATGAGGTGAGGAAGTGCCTCCATTGCAGGCTCCTCCCACCATAACATTCTGCCACAGTAACCATGAACAAAAATAACATTTCTCCCTTAAGTCTTTATGCCAGGTATTGTTTTCAGGCTCAGAAAAAAACATTTGTACCCTTTGACCTAATAAATATGCTTGTAGAGTTTACATAAGAAAAGATAAGAGATGTGCAAAAAAGGTGTGTGTTAAAAGATCTTCATTTAGAAGGACCCTAAATGAACAAAAACAAGTAACAAAATTATAATGCTTCCAAAGAACAGAGTACTAAGGCTACTAAACAACATGCTGTAGAAGAATATTTAAGGCCATAAAGATTATCCACATTATCTAAAAGGGCAAAAGCAGATTATAAATTACATGTATAGTAAAACCTGAGCATGATGTTCTCATAAATATGAACAAACTGCTATCTCTGGAAGGTGGAGATATAATTTGTGAGCTATTCTGTACTTTCTAATATTAACACAATTTAATAGTTGATCAAATAATTCATTCACTTAAGAACCTATTATGTCCTTCACTGGGGAAATAAGACAAGGACCTGCCTTTTAGAGACTTATAATTCACAGTAGGAAATGTGGGGGTGAGGGGTGTGTGTGGACACATAGATACATGTAACAGGCAAGGTACTCTTTTTTTTTTTTTAACATGAGAATTTTTTTATTGTGAAAATACTGTACAGAGGGGTTACAATTACATGGGCAAGATAATGAGTACATTTCTTATCAAGCATTGTAGCCTCCTCCTTTCTTTCCCCTTCCCATCCCTGCGACCCCTCCCCACTCCCCCACCCAATTCTCCTTCCCCCTTCCCCCCCCCCCCACCAAAGTTGTAAAGTTTGTTTTCAACATAAGGACTTGTACATCTCATTGTTGCAATGGGTCCACCTGTATCCCTATTTAAACGATTTGTTTTTTCAGGCAAGGTACTCTTGAAGGATCTAAGTTCAATAAAGAAAACAGAACAGTGATGTGGGAGTGATGAGAATAGATAGGGCCATTCTAGTTGGACATTCAGAGAAAGGAGTAGAGTAGAGGTTGACGTGTCAGAGGAAGTAACGTGAACTATAAGGATTTGAAAGGAGAGGTCACACAGGGTTCTGAGGGCACAGCCTTTGGCCCAAGCAGGATAAAAATTGCAAAGGTCTTAAGAGGGAACAACAGCTCCAAAATCAG